ACCATCCCATTGCCTTCTCGCTTGCATGGTTTCTGCTGAGAAATCAGAGCTTATTCTTACTGGCTGTCCTTTGTAGGTAACTTTTGTTTTTCCCATGCAGCCCAGCCCATTGGTTCTTAAGCAGTTACTGTCACAGTACCTGATTCCATTCCTGGGCTGGGAACCTTGTTACTGTGAGCACCGTCCAATGGCGTCCTATAGAACCAGAGTTCAGCTGGGGGCTTCGGGAACAAACGGTGCTTCCAGCCACCACCAGCAGCCCCTGCCTGGCCACCTTAGAGATTTTTTAGATGGTTCACTGCTGACCATTCATCATTTTGTTTGTCACCTGCAAGAAGTCATAACTAGATAAGCAGGTGCCAGAGATCTGAGCAATGTCTGTGGGAGAAAAGTTTTAAATGGAGATGGTCGTGTCCCATCCTAATTTCTGTGGTTGCCTAGTGTGAGAACCATTTGCATAGACCAGGCCTTATTTTATAGATGAGCAAACAAGGGCTCGGAGAGAAAAATAATGACAGCAGCCAGGCAGTGTCCTGAGACCTTGTCTATGCTATTTAATCCTTGCATGAGGCCCATTTTACAGTTAAAGAAACTGAGACACAGACAGGTTAAGGGACTTGCCCAAGGCCCCTCGGCTGGTGTGGGATGGAGCGTGCACCTGACTCCAGAGCCACTCTTTTAAGGACTAGCCTCTGCTGACCAGTTAAAGGAAAGCCTGGCAGGCAGAGTGTTGCTGTCCTAAGCCAGGTGGGTGAGGGAAGGGCTCTCTGCTGAGAGGCGACTCCTCCTCTCCCTTCATAGTATGAGTCACCCCTGAAAGGTGTTGGCGTTTGAGCCGCTCACGACCTCCAGCTCCCCTAGGGAAGCTGATGACGCATCTTGGCTTGGCCTAGGGGAACAAGAGAGAGGCTTTGGCTATAACATCTGCTTCAAGACCCAGCCCTGACAGTCACCCTCCCACCCCCACCGCTCTCCACAGGGCAAGGAGGATGAGGAGAAGAGCTTCGACATGCCGCACTCGTGGGTGGAGCCAATTGAGATCTCACCGGAAGGTATTCGCTTGTTCATGCACCCTCGCCAGGCCCACGTCCCAGCCCAGCGGCCCTGAGCCCTCTGCTCAGCCCCTCCCCCTTTTGGCAGCGTCGCTGGTCACACAGTCTGTGGCTCCAGCACCTCACACCAGCCTGCCACCCAGGAGGGGGCTCACTTTGCTTATGCTGGATGATGGGATGTGGGCACCCTGGGAATGGGTTTCATGGAGCAAAGGGACACAGCCCTCCTCACTCCCTTCCCCCTCTGCTGGGAGGAGGCACTGCCCCAGGCCCAGACGTGTGCAGGACCCAGGAGGAGAAAGTTGGTGTGGGAGCGCTCATGCCCTGTGTCAAAACATGTGGGCTGCTGAGGTTCCCATCAGCACTCAGACCATGGGGAGGGCAGAGGTCATCCCAACAGGGCGGAAAGTGCTGGAAAGGGTATCACAGCAACCCAGAGGAAGAGCGTCCAGCTCAGGTTAGGGGTTGAGGGCTAGAGGTGGGTGGGCCCAGAGTGCTTCAGGAGGCAGGATCCCCTGAGCTTAGTCAAGAAGGGTCAGAAGGAGCCAGCCCAGAGAGGGCAGGAGGGGACAGTGTTTCAGGCAGAGAGACCCGCACAGGGAATGGCCTGGCCTCGAGGGAGAGTGGCATGAGGAACAGACCCTTGGGTGGGGCTCAAAGCCTGTGCCGGTGGGTCCTGTGCCTCTGCCTAGCCTGAGAACACCCTTCAGCAGGCTTGGGGCCTGGCAGGGGCGAGAGGGAACAGACAGTGACAGGCAATCCCACTGCGGAGACTGTCCAAAGGATATGTGACACAGATGTTCATCACGATATTGTTTATGATAACAAGTGGGAAGCAACCTACATACGCAGCAACTGGAGATTGGTCGTATCACTAATGCCTTCTCCCTCGGGCCTGGGGTTCCCTAGCTGGGGAGGAGAGCCCTCAGCCCCACTCTGTGTCCACAGCATTCGAGACCCGCTGCCCCAGTGGGAAGAAGGTCATCCAGTACAAGAGGGCAAAGCTGGAGAAGTGGGCCCCGTACCTCAACAGCAATGGCCTTATGTGTCGCCTCACCACCTACGAGGACTTGGAGTGTAAGGAGGCAGCCCGGCGGGAGGACCTGGGGCCGGGGTAGCAGGGGCGGGGGTGGTACTCGCTGTGGGGAGCAGGAGAGCTGGGTCTCTTGGCACGTCACTGCCACTCTCTCAGTGTGTGTGGGCCCTGCTGACCTCTGTGTACCAGGAACAGTGGGGTGCAAGCTGGGGGAGCTGGCCTGGCTACAGCGAGCATTTTGGATACCCCAGGCACCCGCATCGTGGAGATAAAGGAGTGGTACGAGAACCGAGAGGACATGCTGGAGCTGAAACACATGAACAAGATCACGGGCCTGAATATCGACTACTTCAAGCCCGGCCACCCCCAGGCCCTGCGTGGTGCGTGGGCCCCACTGGGGGGCAGTCAGGAGCCCAGGGCAGGCAGCTTCCGTGGTGGTTGGTTTGTGGTGGGAGGAACCAGCATTCTTGTATCCACAGGGGTCTTGAGTGTCAAGCAACAGAAAGTGCCTGTGCCTCCCCAAGCAAACCTGACATATGGGGAGATTGGGGGGAGCTCAGAAAATACGAGAAGTGACAAACGTTTCCAGGAAAGTCAGAGCTAGGGCCACACACCTATTCTGTGGTTGGCATCGGGCAGGAAACCCCCTAAGAGGGCACGGTTGTTGTTGTTGTTTGCCGTCAAGTTGGCCCCGACTCATAGCGACCCCTCCTTGGGTTTCTGAGGCAGTATCACTACGGAAGTAGATTGCCCCATCTTCCTTCCGAGGAGTGACTGGTGAATTTGAACTTCCAGCCTTCTGGTTAGCAGTCAAGTGCCGTAGCCACTATGCTACCAGAGCTCCCAAGAGGGCACAGTAGGAACTACATTTAAAGGAGGTTAAGGGAGCTCTGGCAGCGTAGTGCCTAAGGCATTTGACTGCTAACCAGAAGGCTGGCGGTTCAAACCCACCAGCCACTCCTCGGAAGAAAGGTTGGGCAATCTACTTCCATAGTGATACCGCCTCGGAAACCCAAGGAGGGGTCACTATGAGTCGGGTCCAACTCCATGGCAGTGCGTAAGGATGCTGAGCAGTGGAACCAACCAATGTTCCTCACAAGGGCAATGCCAAGGGCACAGGGTGTGTGAAGTATGGACATGGCTACAGGCTCAGGAAGCCAGCAAGGTCTTATCTTGGGGAACAGTCAATGACTCTAACCAAGAATTTGCAACAAAGGAAAAAACACAGGGCTGATACACAGTTGCAAAAAGGATCAGCCTCAGCACTTGTTGGTTGAAAAATGAAATGAACCTAATGAGGGATGCTTTTACAACCCTCAAGCTGGCAAAGATGAAAAAGACAAAAGGAGAATAGTCCCACTGGCACCAACACGCGTGGGAAGCAGCCGTCCCTCCATCACTGCTGGGAGGAGAGCAAATGGGCACAGGTTTCTGGAGGGCGGGTTGGCAAAGCAGATCAGCAGTGGCCCTAAGACCCAGCAGATCCGCTGCTGAGACGCTGTCCTGAGCCAGTAACAACACAAAGAATACAGGGCAGGGACACTCCACGGGATGCGATCTGTAATAACGCCAGGTTGCCGACAGCCTAGACAGCCAGCACCAGGGGCTGGTGATGTCACTGAAGCTCATCTGTGTGTGGATCGCCCCTCCCGCGGGCCTGGGCTGGGGTCTCGGGCCAGTCCCCCTAGTCCCTGGTGCTTATCTACCCCTCTCCTGCCCTCCCCCACCGCAGTGCACACCTACAAGTCCATGCTCCCTGAGAACGACCGCGCTATGGAATTTTACGAGTCAGCCCGTGTGGACAGCCTGATAAGGCGAGAGGAGACCCCCGACACCATGACCGAGTACTTCCAGGAGAGGCCCGACTTCCTCTCCTACCGGCAGGTCAACTACGGCCCCAGGATCAAGAAGCCCGCTCCGAGCAGCACGGAGTCCAATCCCCGGCCTGTGGTGGTAGGAGCCCGTGGGGCCTGGGGGCAGGCCGAGGTCACCATGGGACGGGGAGAGCCTTGGCTCTGGGTGCCATCAAGGCCTGAGACATTTCCTAGGCACTAACTATGAGCCAAGTGCTTTACAAAACACACAATCGCAGGGCTGTGTGATGTCAGACTATACCCTCAGCCAAAAAAATGAAAAAAATCGCATACTCACAATCACAAACATTGGGGAGATATGAGGAAAAGTGAAAATACCTCAGAATGGCATGTCAGACATTACCACGAACTAACGGGTTTGGTCTCAAGAGTCTTTACTGACTGGAGGTGTGGGAGAGTATAATCCCCGCCTCAGCCCATTTAACATTAACATTCATTTGTATGCATTTCCTCCACGTCATTACAAATTATTTGGCAACTGCGTTTAATGACTGCATCCCAAACCAGCTCTTTCTAGCAGTGAAGGATGTCTAGTGATGGAGTAGGCACCCCAGAGAGGTGGGGAGCTCCCTGTCCCTGAAGGTGGCCAAACAGAGTCTTGTTGGAGAGCTAGGAAGTCCAGCCCCATGCAGGGCTGCAGCGGCCCGGCCCTTGAGAACCCGCAGAGGACACCAGACCGCAGTGTCGCTGAGTGCCGTGGGGGCATGTGCAGAAGTCTCCTTCCCCCACCTCCTGCCCTGTGCCTGTTCTGGCCCCACAGAAAATCACAGAGCGGTTCCGCCGAAACCCCGCGAAGCCTGCGGACGAGGACGTGGCGGAGCGCGTGTTCTTGATCATGGACGAGCGCATTCAGCTGCGCTACCACTGCCGCGAGGACTACATCACTGCGTCCAAGCGCGAGTTCTTGCGGCGAACCGAGGTGGACAGCAAGGGCAACAAGATAATCATGACCCCCGACATGTGCATCAGCTTCGAGGTGGGCCTGGGGTCATGGCTGCAGGCCGGTGGCGGGAGGAGAAGCCTCCGGGGCCCTCCTTCCGGCAGGTCGCAGCATCTTGCAAGAACCAGAAGGGGAAACGCTAGCTCCCAGCCGGAAATTCATTCCCCCCACACACACTCCTTGGGAAAATTGGAAGCTCCCACCTGGGGACCCATTTCTTTACAGCTCCTTTAAAAATCTCCTCTTCCACCAAGAAAGAGAACCTAGGGAGCTGAGACCACTCCCCACTGCCCACCCGAGATCCCGAGGGCCAGGGCCAGTAGGAGAAGACTCCCCGCCACCGTGGTGCTCATCTTCTTAGTTCAAATCCTCACTCTTCTGGCACCTTCCTCAACCCCTGAGTCTCACCTCTTCTGTTATCTGTGTTTTCACTGATGAGGGAACAAGTTCAGAAAGGTTAGGCAACTTGTTTCGGGTCACACAGCCAGAAAGTGGCAGGGGCCGATGTGAACCCAGGTGGTCTGACCACAAGCCCTTGGGAGGCGTCTCGGGGCAGTGTGCTGGTTGTTGTCCCAGGTGGAGCCCATGGAGCACACTAAGAAGCTTCTCTACCAGTACGAGACCATGATGCAGCTCAAGAGTGAGGAGAAGCTGTCCAGACACCAGGCCTGGGAGTCGGAGCTGGAGGTAGGGTCCAGTGGGGCGCACAGGTGAGAGGTGACGGGGCAGGGCTGTCTTAAACAGGGCCCTGCTTTCCTGCCTCAGGTGCTGGAGATCCTGAAGCTCCGAGAGGAAGAAGAGGAGACCCACGTGCTGACCATCTCCATCTATGACACCAAGCGAAACGAGAAGAGTAGGGAGTATCGGGAGGCCTTGGTAAGCCCCTCTCTCAGCCAGGCCCCGGCTCTTCCTGCACCAGCTCCCCACCCCCGACCTCCAGGTGGTGAGATGAACCAGGGATTCACCTGGACAGCCATTTATAGGGGAACAAGTCACTGACACCTCCGTGTCTGTCCTTGCTGCTGAACTAGCCATTTCTACAGTTCGCCCCAGAGAGCCCTCAGGATCCAGGCCAGGTCGTCCCCCACCTCCAGGGACTTCTGGTTAACCCGTGGTCTGTGCTGTGTAGTGGATGGATTAAAACATACCCACATGCCTCCACCTCCATCCCAAAGCCTGGGCCGGAAACCTTGGCAAGCAACTCTGGCCACAGGCCTGACTTTTTGTAGCCCCTGCCGTGCTGGGTGTTCAAGGGACCCTCAGGTTGCAAATCCCAGCTTGGTGGCTTGGTTTTTGAGGCTGGTTTCTGAATCTCCTTCACCTGCCAACTGGAGATTGCTAAAAAGTTTGGGGTTTGTGAACTGGGACATGGCATCAGATGATTAGCTCTCAGATTCCAGGGGGGCATCAGCCTCCACATCTCCACTAGGACACAAGGCTCTGGCATGAAAGGGAAGCATGAAGGGCGTTACTGACAGTTTTTTAATTTAATGCTATTAATTCCACCACCAAGGAACCCTGCTGGTGCAATGGCCAAGCACTTAGCTGCTAACTGAAAGATCGCAGGTTTGAGCCCCACACCCAGTGATTTTGTGGGAGAAAAGCCTGGTGAGCTGCTCCTCTAAAGACTGCAGCCTAGAGAACCCTGTAGGGCAGTTCCCCTGCCACAGTATGAGTTGGAACTGACTTGATGGCACCTAACAGTACCACCACCACTTATTGAACAAGTGTGTCACGTACAGACTGTGCTCACAGACATGATCTCAGTGGAATCCTAAGAGGAGGAAACTGAAGTTCAGGTAGAGAGCCGAGAATTTGTGGAAGAAGCAAGACTTAGGCTGTTATCAATTGACAGTATGAGAGACCAGCCGCCAGGTCCCCTCTAAGGCCTCAGCCCCATTTTGTGCTGTCACACTGTTGAGCCCGTCAGGTCAGTGAGGCCCCTGCTGGCCCGGCTGACCCTCCCGCCCCGCCCGCAGGAGCGGGTGATGCACGAGGAGCACCTGAGGCAGATGGAGACCCAGCTGGACTACCTGGCCCCCTTCCTGGCCCAGCTCCCGCCGGGTGAGAAGATGACACGTTGGCAGGCTGTGCGTCTCAAGGACGAGTGCCTCAGTGACTTCAAGCAGAGGCTCATCGACAAGGCCAACCTCATCCAGGCCCGCTTTGAGAAGGTGCAGCTGGGGCCCAAGGAGGGGTGGGCAGGACACCCTGGCATCCTCATTCAGGGAATGGACGCAAGGCTGTCTGCCCCACCACCTCAGACGTGTGAGGGACTGAGAGGGGATGAGTGTGTTAGTGCTTAGGGTTTCCAAATGATGAGGTGGTCTTCCTCATACTTGTTGATTGGGTGGGTAGATGAATGAATGGGGGTGGGTGAATGGATGGGATAGATGGATGGGTGGATGGAGTAGATGGAGTGGATGGATGGGTGAATGGATGAGTGGATGGGGATGGGAGGATGGATGGAATACATGGATGGATGGGGGTAGGTGGATGGAGTACATGGATGGATGGGGATGGGTGGATGGATGAAGTACATGGATGGATGAATGCATTATACAACTCCTAGTCCTTGACCCATTTCTGCAGGCTAGGAGTGCACCATACACTCTCCACACATTACCTAATTTAGTTGCACACAGTTCTACAAGGTGAGGTGGGCACAGTGAACCTTTTTTCAGTTAAGAAACGGGAGGCTCTGAAAATATCGGTAACTTGTCCGGAGCTGCAGAGTTGTCTTGGTCTTGACCTCTGCTCCCATATTATGGACATAATGTCCCTCTACATGGGCCCTCAGCAGCTCCCACCCAAGACTGTGTGTGGTCCACCCTTCTGACTTCTGTGGGTGGGGCAGTTGGCCCTGTCTGGAGACGAGTGGGATTTCAGCCTGCAGCCTGGGTGAGGGTTAGCCCCACAACCCTCCCCCTCCCCATGCCACAGGAGTCCCAGGAGCTGCAGAAGAAGCAGCAGTGGTACCAGGAGAACCAGGTGACCCTGACACCGGAGGACAAGGACCTGTACCTGAGCTACTGTTCTCAGGCCATGTTCCGCATCCGCATCCTGGAGCAGCGGCTCAGTCGGTGAGGGGGTGGGGGAGCCGGAGAGGACGGGGCAGCTGGGCTACCAGCTTCACGCTCCTCCAGCCCCCTCACTGGGCCTCCCGATTGCAGACACAAGGAGCTGGCCCCCCTGAAGTACCTGGCGCTGGAGGAGAAGCTCTACAAGGAGCCACGCCTGGCCGAGTTCCTCAAAAGTTTTGCTTGATGCCCCTCCTGGGGCTTCACAGAATCCCCCAGCAGAAGCGCCCAGCCTCCACCACCTGGCCC